ACTACTGGACGTAAATTTGCCTAGAAAAACCACACAACGGCTAGGGGCTGTTGGCTCTGCAACGTCCTGTAAAGGATACGCAACTAACCTTACGAAATTATTATAAGATCTCTGTTTGGGGAAAGAGAGTAAAAAGTGATGGCATGACTTGAGATGTGACTGCACAGTGTATATGTGTTGATTATCGGAGAAATATTACAGTTTTCTCAGGATAGTAGCGTACGTGATAGAATTGTTATGGAAAAGTATTCAGTCAACATTTATATCGGAATTACTGGTGTTAAATTGGGGCTGTGAGGATAACCTAGCTCATAGTCCATAGCGCGTGATAAAATAATTTGAAGTAATACTGAGATGGTACACACGAAATATATTTCAGTTTATTAGGACTTGAAAACGGGTGTGTGTGTGGGGGGGGGGGGGGGGGGTGAAGAAGGGGTGGGTAGCTGTCAGAGTTTAATCTACATAGTGCTAGGCACATGTTTTGTGAAAGTTCAGCTACCTAACTCCGTGTGAGTTACGGGCCTTTTTTTTTGGGGGGGGGGGGGGGGGGGGGGAGAAGAAGGGAATAGAATAGACCCACTCCTGCCAAGCGTGTTGTAAAAGTCAACTAAATGAGGGTGTTTTCTTTGAAATCGGCGTGAATCTGCCTGAGAGATGAGGAAGTAACAGTCTGTTTACAGATAAGCCAGATTTGTGAAAGGGGTGTGCATGCAAAACTCAAGTTCTGGAACTAGTCTAATGTCCTGAGGTGGACGAACAACCAGAACTTTCTGCCGGAGTTTACAAGCGGTGAACGCGAAGACGATGAAGAGCCAATTAATGTGGATACACAGATCTACGAGCACGATTTGTGAGAATGAATCTCATCTCATCTTGGTCCCTATGTACATTGTTGTGACGATGTGAATTTACGGGAAAGTGCTAGTTTGTGCGCTTCGTAAATGGGGATTCCCGTGGACTCTGTTATTCGTTCTGTCCATCGTTTGTTTGGTCGGCCTTTTCTTTGCTTCATGCCTTATCTGTACATCATTGCTTGCTACAGATTACTGTTTACTGGCATCTGGCCAAACCATTTCACTTGTAAAAAAAAAAAAAAAAAGATCAAATCCAGAGCTGCCGCTACCCCTATTTTATTCCCGGATTGCATCGTTTCAGACCTAATCTTTTCGAGTTTTATTAGAGCTCTTCGCAGGAATTTAATTTATGTTATGATGTTTCTTTTTTCTGTTAATCTGCAGGTCTGGCATTGATAGCAACTGGGTTGGCAATAAGATTATGTCATAGAAATTGGTCCAGACTTTCTGCCCCCTCATCCTTTCCTTCCAACCACCATCACAAAACCAAACATCCAGAAGTGAATGCACTATCTGCTCAGTTTCCCTGTTCACTTTATCCCAGAGAGCCTTAACCACGTTCTCGTTATCATAAAGTATTTCCCTCACCAGAGCGATGCTAACAGCCAATCTATCAGCCTGCTCTTTGCCACACAAACCAGAATATCCTGAGGAGAAAATCCAAGATATGTTTCTTACCACGTCATGCAAGCCCCTCTGTCAGCAAGATACCCGATTCTATTTTCCACAGCATTCTCTGCAAGTCAGTTACAATTATAACGCGTGGATGGAGCTATTCTACACTGCAACAATCGAAAAGCTGCAGTTACTGCCTCCAACTCCATTCTCATGCTAGATGTTGACTAAAGCTGTTTGTCCCGTTTTCTTTTCTCCAATCTCAATTTCTGGAAATCTGGAAATCAAAGACACTTAGCAAACACACAAAAAAACTCAAGATCTTCAATTCTTGTGTGATTCCAGTACTAACCTATGGATGCGAGAGCTGGAAATCTAGACACAAAATTAGACAATTTTGAAAATAAATGCCTTAGAAGAATACTAAATTTCAAATGGTCAGATTTCCGAACCAATACACAAATAAGGCAAGAATCCAGGCAAGAGTATGTGTCTAATTTTATACGAAAACGCCGCTGGAACTATGTCGGCCACGCCCTTAGAATGGATAAATCAAGACTTCCTTACCAAGCCCTCATTTGGACACCACAGGGGAAAAGATCTCGTGGAAGACCAAGGGAAACCCTACGTAGAACTATCATCAGGGAAGGCTCGCTCATGGGCCACTCAAACATCCAAGACCTATAACAGATTGAAACGAACCGCCATGCATGGATAGTCATGACCTCTGCCCTATGTGCCGCACTCGACACAAGAGGAAAGACTAACTAACTAACTAACTAACTAACTAACTAACTAACTAACTAACTAACTAACTAACTAACTAACTAACTAACTAACTAACTAACTAACTAACTAACTAACTAACTAACTAACTAACTAACTAACTAACTAATCTCAATTTCGTGTTTTTATTATTATTATTATATATATATATATATAACTATTTATAATCTCTAGGCGACCAACAAATATATATATATATATATATATATATATATATATATATATATATATTTGTTGGTCGCCTAGAGATTATAAATAGTTTCATAGTTGCTATATACCAAGTTGGATTCACCTGCAGGCGATTTGGCCAACGATTGCTTTGAGTTGATTTTGACAATATTAGGAGAATTGTGCGGTAACCCAGAAAGCAGTGGCAAATTGTTGAACTCGAAATTGGACATAAAACCTTAAAATTCAACAACAAAAATGCGCGGCTGTATTGAAGTAGTCGGAATATTTTTGTTAAAAAGACCTTGGTTCCCAGGTCGACTCAGTCTTGAGTTGGTACCAGGTGTAGTCCCGGGAAGCAAAGGCAGCCGGTGTGATGTTGACCATATGACCAACCCAGTGGAGACTGGTCTATAAAATATAAGTCTAGCCCTACATGCCCAATACACCCGAAGGCGTAGAAAAAGGTCCTTTATTTTACTGATATTCCACCAAACACGCACTTACATAATTCAAAATTCAACACTAACAGAACAAAGAAACATAAAAATGTATCTGTGACTTCACTGTAGCTCTATACAATAGAAGCCGGGGGGAAGGGGTGGGTGGGAATAGACATCGAACAGAGAAACAATTATAGGCTGTTCCAGAAGTTCTGTCCAACTTCAAAATATCTGTAACTTAGTAACAGTTCGTGGTCAGTTGTTGAAATCTGGCATGCAATCTGTTAAAATTCATCTCTTGTAAGATTATTGTTGTTATTATTATGAATGTAAACAAACATCTAGTTTTCATTTTGCCTTAGTCCCCTTAGTTATAGGGAAAACAAGAATAGACCCACCGCCTACCTGAAAGCATGTCGTAAGAGTCGACTAATTGGGAGCTTTCTTCGAAGTCGGAGAGCATCTGCCTGAGAGGCAAGGAATCAACAGTCTGCACACAAATGAGTCATATCAGTCAAACGGATGCACACGCAACACTCAGGTTGTGGAACAGAACTGCAGTCCAGAAGTGGGCGAACAACCAGAACTTTCCACCGGAGTTTACAGCTGGTGAACGCAAAGAAACACGAAGAATTTTGCCTTATGATCGGTGTTTGAAAAAACACACACATTCAAACCAAAACTTTGGTAAACTGATTAAGGGAAACGTTTCAAAATATAAGACTGCATGCGTTTTACTCTCGGGTGATCATCTGTAGCATTAGTCTCCTGTGAGTTGTGGATTTTTCAATTTAAAAAAAAAAGTGGGGGTGGGGGGGGGGGGTGGCGATAGGCTATGCTACTAATCACGCTGCAGGGCTGTACACGAAAACGAATTTCCAAACATTCTCCACACATATGTGTCAGTTACTATGTATTCTATTTCTTATGGGTACATGTATTTTTTGTCAAACACACATCAAAGAAATTCGCCCCTTTAAGGAGACTGCAGCAGCTATGCAATTGTAAACTATAGCATCATAAGGACATGAGAAATCAAAGGCCATATGCAAAAACCAAAATGAGTTTTCATAATGTTTGTTGAAGTGTGAGGGCACGAGTTTGGAAACCCACCATAACAATTAGTTCTGCTCGAACAGTGCCACGACAAGTCTAGTAGCAAACTGCCCTCCCAGTTTTAGATACTATTTGAAAAACCTTAAGCCTACTTCAGCAATGAATTAATAGCATTGTTTCCTGTAACTTCAGTTCTGTCAACAGATTTTCGGAAATGGCTGTTTGTTTAGCACATTGCATGGTTCTGCTAGTAATCATTGTGTTTAAAGGTAAGTGTTATTTAAAGCACAGTGCGGGTATTTTTTTTTTTTAAATCAAAGAATCAAATGGTTTGGTTTGGTCACCTGGTCAGAGTGGATCAAAATCAGTCAACAATTAGAGCGTACTATGAGAACAACAGACTACAAGGCAAGAGACAGAGCAAGAAAGAGATGGGTGGAGAGAGTAAGTGATTGTACAGAAAAGGCAGTATGATATTAACACAAGCAACGCACTAGCAAAAGCATAAAACTACATTTAACTCTTCTCTGTGAGGCCTCACGACACAAGTAGTAGGATAAAAGAGGAAGAAGAAGACGTTAATTTAATATAAATGATATTAAACTATTATAATACGCACTTTGGTGCGGTGTATATTGTTTATGGTTATGAAGGCAATTTCATAATTATTATATTACAGGTTCAGTTACGCTCTAGGCAGTTTGGTAGCAGACTGTTTTTGTGTTGACGTCGACAAAGGTATGAGCGTCGAACCGATCAGACTAGCAAACTACTTAAAGTACAAGTTTCTAATATGCTTATAACCAGCAACACATACTTCGGTTGGATTGTGAGAAAACAGACGAAACACGTAAGGAAATGTTCCAACTGAAGTGATATTGATGCTTGATTTATTCATTTATTCCCACTTTGCCTACACATATGTATTACTGACACACATACTCACATGTATAAAAACAGACAGACAGGCGTGCGTTCATATACATACAAACTACATACAGGCCGGCAGGCAGGCATAGAGACCTATAGTTGACTACTTTTAAAGTATATCAGACTGTATAGTTTACTGCTATTTATGATCGTTCTTACAGAAAGCTTAGGGGAAAGCCGGAGTCATTTTCCTTTAAAGAATTGCTCTGGCCAAGAGATTGATATACTAGGATTGGTGCATTTTGATCCACTCATCTGGCGGGAACATTTATCTTCATTGAGACAACTGTTCTTATACGTTGCGGCCTTTGCAGACAGCCCTACAGTCTCGAGACTTAAGTATGCTTCATTTGTCGACCGGTCTACTACTCACGCTGTCGGAACGAATTACAGAAGTTGGCGTTTTAGAACTATTGCTGAACCCTACACACTTTATTACCCCAGAACTACGAGTGCTCTTCAATATCGAGTTACAGATGCGGAGAAAGTTGTAGAACAGAAAATACAATTTGCTGAACTATTGTTCCAACAGCTGCAAGGGGTTAGAAAGTCAGCTATTCATGTTGCAGTTATCTTTCTTGATGGTGCCGATCTTAAAGAAGAAGATGTAAGAAAAGTATCATTCATAGTTCAAAAGCAAAATTCTGGCATCAAGATATTAGTTCTACTTTATGGTTATAAATTCTTAAAAGACACTGTTCATTTGCGCAACACTATTGTTGTTCCATATGTTGGAAATACAGGAATTGAACAGACCCTTCTGATGGCGTTATGCGAACAATGTCTTCCAAATTGGGTTTCTCGTGTTGAACTAACTCTGGGTATGCATGTTCACTCTTGCTACAGATTGTTCGTACACGAGAGCGTAACATGGTCTAATGCGATGACTATGTGCAGTTCATTTCACGGCGGATATCTGACAAGAATAGAAACCTTAAATGAGCTTGTATTTGTACAACGTTTGTTATTTAATAAAACAAAAGAAGAGGCAATGAATAAAGTTGACAGTCGTGCATTTGACGTATACATTGGTCTTCGCCGGGATTTGACAAGCTATGCCAAACGTTTTCATTGGTATACAGATTTAGGACAGTATCTACCGCTGGTAATTCGTCATTGGTCACAAGGTGAACCATTGTGTGGGTTCGGCGTCTGCGACTGTGGATTATGGCGATTTCAGGGCCACTGGCACCAAGATCAAAATGAAAACAAAACATATAAATTGGATGACGGATGGATGGATACTGATTGTAGTGAAAAACTATCTAAGTCCCTGTGTGAAGTTTCTCTTCAGCAACAAATTGGTATTAATAATATTTTCACTGTAAAGGCAGCCGCACAGGAAAGTTTCAATGCTTCTTTAGCCAAAGGGAATTTTTTATTATTTGAAGACAATATTGTATCTGTGTATGAAAACGTTGGAAACAAAGATGTTCTTCAAAATGTCCTTGCAAGTGTCAAAGAATCTCCACTGTTTGACTGTGCAGAAGATACTGGCAATCAGAGATATATACCCTATAGTTTAGTCTGTGACCGCGTTGACCACTGTAGCAACAGACGAGACGAAAAGTATTGTTTTCAACAGGACAAGGTTTACTCTCCCACTGAACAACAATGTGCAACTGACAGACGTTGCTTGGACGGCTCCTGTTTGCCTATCCAGTATTTAAATGATGGGGAACTAGATTGTAAAATAAACATCTCCAGAAGGCTGACGGATGAGAACCCGGCTCACGATGTATACCTGAAAGATTACAAAACATGTACACTTATTTGCAACTTTGACACTTGTATAAATATGTCTCAACTAAACGATGGAGTTGATGACTGTGGAGGACTTGACAGTTTGGATGAGACGATCGGAAAACTGCCAGCTGTCAACGCATGTGCAAGCAGCGAGGGTAAATTTACATGGGCTCCTAAATGTGTATACATTAAAGACATTTACGGCGGTGTCGTAGGTTGTAGAGACATGTCCCATCTCAGTGACTGTGAGAACTTCACGTGTGGTCAGGGATATGTGAAATGCTTTAACTCGTACTGCATCCCTCAACACTATCTTCTTGACATGAAAGCTGACTGTCCTACAGGAGAGGACGAGCAGCCGTTCAACACTAGGCCATGTACAGGACATTTCGCTTGCTGGGAGAGTAGAGTTTGTCTTCATGCAGATTTCGTTTGTGATGGACATGCAGATTGTCCACACAAAGACGATGAACTAAATTGTAACACACTGTGTCCTGAAGGTTTTCATTGTACCGCTGGCTCAGTATCAGTAATACTGTCAAAGTCTTTAGATCTGGACAGTTTCACTGACATAGGCGCACGTACCAGGTACCTGAATTTGTCAGGAATGGATCTATCTCAAACAGAATATTTGTTTTATCAAGTTAAACAAAGGTTTCCAAAAGTAGTCACTCTGATCCTTTCTAAATGCAACATCACTAATATAGACTTTCATGAAAATGAAACCTTAAATCAATATCCACCTTTTAATATTCAAAGTCTAGATATTAGCTATAATACGATTCATGAAATATTCAACACTGAAGTTTTCAGTAAAATGCTCCAAAATATTAATTACCTCAACGCGTCCTACAACAATCGTCTTATTTCTCTGAAACAACTACGGTTTAAATTTCTCGAGATACTGGATCTTTCTCACACCGGGCTTTCGTACCTACACGGCCTTGTGTTTGCAGGGTTGCCTCGCTTGAAACATCTTAACTTAAGTTACACTCTGATTTCAGATTTCAGCAGGCAATATTTCCCATTAGTCCTAACCCTACATACACTGAATTTACAAGGACTTCTCATCGAGCGACTGGAGGCCGATTTGTTTCACGGAGTCGCAGTTAGTCAGAATCTCTATACAGATCAATATCAGGTTTGCTGTCCTAAAGTTAGAGGCTCTAATATCCCAGCTCATGCATGTAAGTCTCCTACGGAAGCCATTTCTTCATGTTTCGATCTCATAGGGCTATTTTTTCAGCGAGTTCTTCTCTGGCTAGTTGCCGTACTTGCTTTTACAGGGAACATGATGGTTATTGTATACCGTCTAATCTGGGACAGGTCAGTTCTGAAGACGGGATACGGTCTGCTTGTGACAAACTTGGGTGTGTCTGACTTTATCATGAGTGTCTATTTATTCGTTATTGCAGGAGCTGATCACTTCTACCGTGGCAATTATGTTCTCTATGACAGAAAGTGGAGAGAAAGTATTGCATGCAATTCTGCCGGTTTTATGGCAACTCTTTCCCACGAGACATCCACTTTATTTACTTTACTGATTACACTGGACAGACTTTTAGTCATAAAATATCCTTTTGGTCAAAATCACATTTCTAGACTTTCTAAAATTGCTGCAGTCATTTTTGTGTGGGTCACTGGTTTATTGTTGTCACTGATTCCCTTATTAATGAATTTTAGTATCTATTCTTCTAATGCAATGTGTCTGGGGCTGCCTTTAACAAGCAAACGAGGAACTGGTTGGGAGTTCTCAGTTGGAGTATTTGTTTTTTTCAATTTTATCATGTTTCTCTTCATTGTTTACGGGCAATACGCAATTTTCCTTGCCATTTCAGAGAACAGAATACCCAAGACAGCAACTAACATGTCCCGCTTACGACGTGCAGAAGATATAACAGTTGCCAAGCAACTGTCTCTTGTTGTTCTGTCCAATTTTGTCTGTTGGTTTCCTATCGGACTCATGGGACTTATATCTCTTGGCGGTTATTATGTCAGCGATGAGGTTTATGCCTGGACAACCATTCTTCTTCTTCCCTTAAACTCCGCTGCAAATCCAATTCTGTACACAATCCCTGTCCTTATGTCAAAGTGGGAAAAGTTCAGACACGGAGAGCAGATCTCCTTGTGATTGTTGTTTGAACTAGGCATATAATATGTGTGGCATGTTGGTCCCCCCCCCCCCTTTTTTTTTCCTTTTGTGAGTAATCGGGGTCTCTATGGCTAAAGATTCAAGACGTTTGCCTCTCACTCCTAGAGTTGTGGGTTCATATCTCAGACTGCGTCGTACGGTTTAAGAAAGCAGTTGGACAGATTCTGTCATAAATTATCTCAAGAGAAAGACAATGCCAACAGATTCTTGATAACCTTCAATTATGTCATGAGAGGTGTCAGCAAATGAACGGATAGATGCTGTTGAAGATTGTATGTTGTGGTAAGGCATGATCGCCCGATCCAGTCCTGATGTGGTGATTATGTATATTTGTGTGTGTGTGTGTGTATGTGTACACACTCACACACACACACACACACACACACACACACACATATATATATATATATATCAGACTGTCTGAGGTAACAACAACTTGGACCAAATTCAATGAGGTGCATAAGATAACATTGTTCGGTCATCTCGTGTCAATGCAATCACAGCAATCAACACTGGCGTTACACTTAAGAGATCTCACGTGAAAGCAAAAGTATGTCCAAGGTGATGATGGATTAGGGATGTGTAAATCAACTTGTCAATAATATATGCTACCCAACGAGTGTTTGACGGCAAACTACTCCTCTGGACACCTCTTGTCGACAAAGGTGGAGGTTATTGATAATGATGATGATATTGTAATGGTATTTTCAGTAATAATAAGTATAATTAAATATGTATCGAATCTTCGGTGCAAGTCAAACTTTACAGGTCGCTGAGTGAATTACAAAAGACAGTGAAGTTCATACTAGAGACAACATTGCAGATACAGATAATTTATTTCAAGTGAACGAAAGAATAAGAAGAAGGTGTGTCGGATCAAATAAATGCCACGCAAAAGTACTCGGGAATATGAGAAATCATAGCATTCAAATGGGTTCGCGTACTGACTAAGCCAGAATTTTTTTTTAATGACCTTGACTCCCAGGTCGACCCACCCTTGAGTGGGTACCAGGTGCAGTCCTGGGAAGTCATGGCAGCCGGCGTGATGCTGACCACATCACCCGCAAAGTGCCGATTGGTCTCTAAAAACATAGTTTTAGCCCTATATTTCCAGCACGCCTAAAGGCATGGACAGGGGTCTAAAAGTGCAGCAAAACACCAGGGGTACGTGGATAACTTTGCACCTCTTAGAGCAGATCGCTCACTGCAGAAAAATTGCTGTTAATAGCAGAGATATAAAACCACCTACGTATATGTAGAAGCGTAGTTTACATGTGATTGCTTGAGGAAAGTTAGTGAAAGCAGATCAATGTATACAACTATAAGGAAAAGACAAGCACTGTTCATTGTTCATGTGATGGGGGGGGGGGGGGAAGCTTTGGAGACTACTGTGAAAACTGGAAAGATCAACAGTAGAAGATGGAGAGGCAGCACAAGAGAGAGAGAGAGAGAGAGAGAGAGAGAGAGAGAGAGAGAGAGAGAGAGAGAGAGAGAGAGAGAGAAATATATGATGACGGATTCATTCATTACAGCTAGCATTATCACATGCTTCATCTAAATATTTACCAAGGAATTTGAAATACCTTATTGCTGAAACACTTTACTGGTTTTCCAAATCATTTGTCAGACAACAGCAATACAATACATTATATACAGCCTTGAATGATGGTTCCACACCACCGAAAATTCTGTCAGATTGCAAAACTAGATGGTTATCAATTTAACCAGCTGTTGAAAGAATTATGAAGCAATGGCTGAAGTTGAAGACACACTTTGAAATAACAAGACAAAGTGAAAAGTGCTACACAGCTGCAATACTATATGGAATATACAGTGATGAAAGAAATTTGCCATTCATTCTCTTTTTATAACCTATTCTAATGGAAGTGCACAAAGTTATTAAACTGTTCGAATCTAAACTTGTTGATAAAGTTAAATTACTTGATGATCTCACCTTGCTATTTCACTCAGTAAAAGACTGGTGTCGCCAACTTCTAAAGCTGATTTGCTCACTTGCACTATAGAGAGCTTTTTGGCTCCTAAGCCACACCTTGGATATTAAATCGAATCAAAAATTGATGATTTCAAAACAAAAGGTCTGTTAACAGAGAATGAAGAGAACAACTTAAGAAAACGCTGTCAAGATTTCCTTATCTCATTATTGAAGCAATTGAAGCAGACTTCCTGAAAATCTAGATGTTTTGAAAAATATTTCACTTTTTTCTGTGAGCAACATACTTCAGCCAATAAAGGACATACCTAAATATTGTAAAGTTATGAAATTTTTTAGGGGCTACTGATAATAGTGTCGCGGAAGCAGAATATCAGTTAACCAAAATAAAGTTAGCTGAATGGACAAACAAAACAGAAACTAAAGCGTTTTGGAGTGAGGTGAGACAATTTAAAGATGCCTCATCAAACAGTCCATTCTGTAAGCTCTTTAAAGTCTGCCATGATACTATCCCACTCAAATGCAGACGTAGAAAGAGTTTCCAGTGCTAGGAATTATATCAAATCTAACCTAAAAACAGGATGAAATTTGACCTCTTAAATGCTATTGTGCCATTAAAACTCGGCCTGATGAGACTAGAGAAATAAGCCTACTGTTCCAATTATAAAGAAATTTTAACAGCTAAAGCATATCAGGGTCATTTTGGATCTGAAGCTTCAACTTCATTATCCAAGCTAAGTTTATCCGGTGGATCTTGTGAGGCAGACATCAGTGAAGGTGAGGACATGATTATGTAGGGTAAGTCATAACAAAAGCTATGTAATTTTTGACTTTTTCAATTTGGATGTTTTTTCTAGATCTTTTCCACGCAGATTTAGATCTTTTTAGATATTTTTGGACACCGTTTTGGATATTTTTTGTCAAAGAAAAGTGGCAACACTGGTTAACTCTTACATCCGCCAGTGAACGTAAAATTGTGACAACCGAGATGAAATGCCTTAGAAGAGTTTCGGGAGTTTTAAGGAAAGACAGAATAAAATCTCGAAATCAGACGAATGCTAAGAATAAAGCCAGTCTTACAGGTCCTCAAAGAACAACAAATGAAGTGGTTTGAACACCTAACAAGAATGTCCTGGTACTATCAAACGTTACAACGGGTATAGAGCGAGTGGAAGACCTCAGAAAATATCCAGTGATGGCATAAAGAACAGTCTTACAGAAATGAACATCAGTCTTAATAGTGGTCTTGACAGAGCTCTTCAAAGAACGTTACACCACCCCACCCCCCTCCCCCCCCCCCCGACACTTCAACGAGGTACAAGGTGGAACAAAAGAAGAAGAAGAAAAAAAGAAGTTCACTAACAAGCATGTCGTAGGCGGCGACTAACTAATATTATGAGTATTTCCTTCAAAACAGGAGTACATCTGTCTGACAGACGAATAGTCTGCAAACAAAAAAGCCAAAACTGTAGAACAGATGTACACGCAGAAATCAAGTAGTGGAACAAGACAGAAGTCCGGAGGTGGACTATCAAAGAAAACTTTCTGCCGGAGTTTACAGCCGGTGAACACTAAGAAAAGGAGAGTAGGATATCTTGTGAAACTGCCCAAAAAGGTGATCTACAGGAGTGTGAAAACTATAGAGGAATTATGTTGCTGTCAGTTCCTGGAAAAATACTAAGTAGAATTATTTTGGAAAGATTAAAAGATGCTATTGATAAAATGCTAAGAGATGAGCAGGTAGGTTTTCGGTCAAACAGATCCTGTACTGATCAGATAGCCACATTACGTATTTTAATAGAGCAAAGCATTGAACTGAACTCACCACTTTACATTGGATTTATAGACTATGAAAAAGCATTTGACAGCATTGATAGGGAATCTCTCTGGAAATTGATGGGGCACTATGGAATCCCACAGAAAATTATCAACTTAGTAAAGGCAACATATAAAGACATGAAATGTCGAGTTCTTCATGAGGGAAAGCTAACAGATACATTTGAAATAAAAACAGGTGTGCGACAGGGATGTCTTTTGTCGCCTCTCTTATTTTTACTGGCTATAGACTGGACTATGAAAACAGTAACTGCTAACACCAAGAATGGAATTCAGTGGACCCCTACAAAACATCTTGATGATCTGGACTTCGCTGATGATATTGCCCTTCTGTCCCATTCACAGAATCAGATACAAGATAAATTAAATATACTTAATGCGAGATCACAGCAGCTTGGTCTGAAAATCCATAAAGGAAAGACAAAGATAATGAGAATAAATCAGGCAAATAGTAATGTGGTTTCTCTTAATGGCACCCCACTCCAAGACGTGGAGTCGTACACCTATTTGGGCAGTAATGTAGATAAAGATAAAGGAACTGATAGAGATATTAAAATAAGAATACAAAAGGCAAGAGGGGCTTTCATAGCACTAGGGAATTTGTGGAGGTCAAAAGAAATTAAAAGAAATACTTAACTAAAAATTTTTAATTCTAATGTCAAATCAGTACTATTGTATGGGGCGGAAACATGGAGAACAACGAAGGCAATTACTAATAAATTACAGACATTCATTAACTGGTGCCTGCGCAGAATAGAATGAATAAAATGGTATGATAGAATAACTAATGTAGAACTTTGGGAGAGAACTAAACAGGCTCCAGTGGATCAGGAGGTGAGGAAAAGACGCTGGCGTTGGATAGGGCACACACTGAGAAAACAGGAGAACAGCATAACTAGGATGTCTTTGCATTGGAACCCACAGGGGCATAGGAATAAAGGAAGGCCAAAAAACACACGGAGAAGAGAGCTGGAGAATGAGGTTAGAAAGATTGGGAGGACATGGGGAGAGCTCCATGTAATGGCGAAGGATAGAACGACTTGGCGTGAGTTGGTTGAGGGCCTATGCTCCATTGGGGGATAAAAAGGCAGAAGAGAACACTAAGAAAAGGAATTAATTAAAGTATCGATTAGAGTCTGTTGTTTAACAAGCAGTTATACAGACGTTATACAATTGTGAATAAAAGTGAGTT